CTTATCACAACAGGAAAGACAGGATGAGAATGGGTTCTCAAAATAAAATAAAATAATTATTTGTAGAGCACTTTTCAAAAACAGTGCTTCAACAAGTGCAAAGACAACAATTCAATACCCAAAAGACAATACAAGCAAGAAAACATTGAAAAGACCAAACTACACGTTTAAGATAAATATAAAATAAGTAAAATAAAATAAAAGGGATAAAATAAAGTCAAATAAGATCGGGAAAGGCTCTCCTATAAAAGTATGTTTTAAGAAGGGACTTAAGAGTTCACTGACTCAGCTGACCTGATTTCCTCAGGCAGGCTGTTCCAGAGCCTCAGGGCCCTGACAGCAAACGCTCTGTCCCCTTTAGTTTTCAGTCGAGACTCTGGAACAGACAACAGACCTCTGCCCGACGATCTCAAGGTAAGTGCTGGTGCGTATGGGACTAAAAGGTCAGAAATATAACAAGACGAGAGGCCATGAAGAGCTTTAAAAGTGATCAATAGAATTTTAAAGTCAATTCTAAAACATACTGGGAGCCAGTGTAATGAAGCTAAAATAGGAGTAATGTGGTCATATTTCTTTGTTCTGGTTAAAAGCCTGGCAGCTGAGTTCTGGACAGTCTGGAGTTGATCAGTAGATTTTTGGGTTCAACAGGTGAAAAGGCTGTTGCAATAATCCAGGCGTGATGAGATGAAGGCGTGTAAAATGTTCTTGGTGTCCTTAAAAGTTAACATAGATCGAATTTTTGCTATATTTCTAAGTTGATAAAAACATGATTGAACAAGCTTTGCGGTGTGCTGCTCGAAATTTAAATTACTATCCAGACAACAAGGTTCTTTGCCACAGGCTTAATGTGATTTACTAGGGAACCAGCAAATGGCAAAACAAATACTGCCATCTGCTGGACCGGATGACCAGGAGTTCAGCTGGAGGAAATTATTTGACATCCATTTTTTAACTTCACAAAGGCAGTTGTTAAGTGAACTCAGCATTCCAGGGTCTGTGGATCTGACGGGCAAGTATATTTGTGTGTCATCAGCATAAATATGAAAAGAAATGCCATGTTTATGGATAATATGTCCAAGGGGAAGCAGATACAAGGAAAACAAAATGGGTCCTAAGACCGACCCCTTAGGCACACCATATTTAACTGGACAGAACGAAGAGACATAGTTGTTTAGAGACACACAAAACTTCCTATTTGACAGGTAGGATGAAAACCATTTTAGGGCAGTACCAGAGATCCCCACCCAGTGCCTCAGTCTGTCTAACATGATGTTGTGATCAATGGTGTCAAAGGCAGCGCTAAGGTCCAGGAGTACCAGGACTGAGCACATGCCTTCATCTGCAGACATTAAAAGGTCATTGGTGACTTTAAGCAGGGCAGTCTCAGTACTGTGGTACTTCCTGAAACACGATTGAAACTTTTCAAATATTTTGTTATTTTCCAGTACAGTGAGCAGCTGTTTGGACACAATTCTTTCTAGAATCTTTGCAATAAAAGGCAGTTTTGAAATTGGTCTTTGTGTGAGGGAGGGATCTAAACCAGGTTTCTTTAAAAGTGGGTTCACGCAAGCCATTTTAAAATAATCAGGGACACAACCAGTAGATAGGGAGCTGTTGAAAACAGATCAAATGGGGCCCAACAGAATCCATTACTTTCAGTAAAAACTTTGTAGGTATTACATCAAGTGGGCTGGAGGACACTCATTTGTGATACTGTTTTTAAAAGCTCAGACAAGTTGATGAGATAAAACTGATAAAACTCTTTTGTTGCTGGTGAGGGACCTCTGAGTAAAAAATACCCCAATATTCACTGTATATCAACAGAAAAATGAGGCCCATCCTGGTTATGTAAATGTGAAGGGGCTGCATCCGAAGGGGTCAACTTCTTGCCTCTGACTAGGCACTAAATCTACACATCAACAAGCCTTGCTCCCCACACAGTCACAAGAGATGGCTTCCTTTAGTGAACTGAAGTGAATGGCAACTCTATTTGATGACAATTCTACCAGTTATGTCTTCCTTCTTGTTCGTGTGGACGCTCTAACAGCTCTGCACGGACACAAAACTGCGGTAAAGGGAGCTATACTGTAGTGAATAGTGAGCTTTTTTTAAATATTAAAACCGTTTAGATCTGCCCTGTTTAGAATAAACAACTGCCAGATGTAATACATTTTCTATAGGCCTAGTTACATCTGAAACATGTGCAGAAACAATATTAAAGAAGGACTAACAGTACAATCCACATGATTGAGGATGTGTGAACCTGCAACCAGCTCAGCTGCTGCTGACAGTTGAAAACACAAAACAAATACTGCAAACTAAATGTTCATGGGCTGAATACCATTTACTTTGTGGTGTTTTATTCAACACTAACTTATTAAACCATTTTTTATTATACCAAATTAATTAGCGACTGCAGATGTAAATTAGCCTAAGGCTAACTCTGGTGTAATGCATCAAATGTTTACATTTATGTTATTAATTGCACATGGTCCCTTCTAAATAAAAATCAATCAATCAATCAATCAATCAACCATTGTTTTATTAATTTGTCTGTTTGAGTTGGATTTCTTCTCTGTCACAAGATACTGAAAACAAAACTGCTTTAAAGGAAAAAAATGTAAATGGGAAAATTGAGAATCAAACAAACACAGATCATAACAAATCCTGGATAAAAATAGGAAATGGTGATCATCTTTAGAGTAGAATGATGCTCCCAACAGGAAAACACTCTGCAGTACTGGCTACCTTACATGAAATGACTGAACAGACTCTTGTTGGTTTCAATATTGCTCTAATGTCACGATCCTGTCCTGAGTGCTGTGTTTTTGGGTTTTGATTCTGAGGGTTTGGTTTTGTATCTGAATGTTTGTGCTGTCATCTGTTCCGTTTAGTTCTGAGTTTATTCATTTATCAGTTTGGTATGTGTTTTGGTTCCATGTCTTAGTTCCTAGTCCAGTGTTAATGTCTTTGTATTTAGTTATTTTGATCTGTTCAGTATCTGTCTTAGAGATGTTGAGTTTTGTGTTCAGTTCTATCTGTCGTCCTTTGTCCAGTATCTGTTTTGTCTTTTGTGTTTGGGTATTTCCCTTATTTTCTATTCTGTTCCATGTTTATGGTTGTCCTATTCCCAGTTGGTTCCGTCTCTGTTCCCTACTCCAGTCTGTTAGTCTGTTATCATGTTTCCTGTTTTGAGGTTCGGTTCCTGGTCTTGTGTTCTCGGTTAGCTCTGCATCTTAGCTCCTAGTTCTGTCTCAGTTTTTTTGTCTTAGCGTTTACTTTTGGTCTGTGTACCTCTGTGTAATGTTGCCCTTGTCTGCTCTGTGTTCTCTTTAATCTTAGCTTCAGTCTGTTTTTCATTGTTGGTTGTAGTTCTTGGTGATCTGTCTGCTTATGTCTTTATTAGTTTATATTTATTCCTCTGATCTGTTATGTGTTCATTAACCTGTGTCATGTGTGTTCCCTCCAGTATCCCTCTGCCTGGCTGTCTCTCTGTTCTCCCCTCTGTTCTCTCCCTGCCTGCCTGTGTCTCATTAGTCTCATGTCTGTCACCTGTGTTGCTCCCTCCCTGCTTGTTTGTGTGTATATATATATATATATACACACCTGGTGTTTCTGTCTAGTCTTCATTTGGTCATTGCGGTGTTTTGCGGTGTGTTCCAGTGTTCTGCAGTATGTTGTCCTGTTTGCTTGCCTTGCTTGTCTTGTCACCCTGGTGTTTTCGATTTTGGCTTGTTTTGGACTGTCAGCCACTCTGCCCGTAAGTGTGCTTGCCTTCTATTTGTCTGAATAAACATTTGAAACTGTACCTGCACTATCTGTGTCCAGCACTTGGGTCCTCCTACCTGCTTCACCACCACACTTGTGACATCTAATGAACGTCACTTAAGAGAGCAACTTAATGCTTTGTTAAATGATCAAGTACACAATTCTAAAGTCCTTTTCAATCACATAGAAATACATGTACAAATATTATTTATTATGAAATTGTCCAGAATGGACTATGTAATGACACAGTAATTATAGGAACATTCACAAAGAGTTTATACTATTTAGGTGAATTTGTGACTTTGAATTGACCAAAGCACTGAATGTGAGTGTAAATGTCTGTAGGTGAGAACAGCTAGGCTGCAGGGCTGTATAAGGCACCAGTTGTATTTATCACCGCTCTCCACCTGGAGTGTGAACACTACTTAAGGCCAGGACGTACTTCTGGAGTATCAGGACAGGAATTCTTACGGGAATTGAGAGTCGAGATGAAAGGATGGATCAATGTTATTGTTTTCAGGACACAAATGTGTGTGGGTGTGGATTCTGTCAATAAACAAAGAAATCAAAACAATGAGTATCTATTTCACTGTTTGTTACATATACTGCACATCATACAACACTATCATTATCTGAACAGGAATATGCGAGAATATACTAACGTTATATGTACTACTATACTGTCTAATGTACAACAAAAATGAGAGCAATATACCCCAAACCTGTTGAAATGAATTAATGCCCTCATAACAGCATAGCTGACATTTAGCGATCCATTTAACAGTAGCCACCCTACTCTTTAACACAGACATTCCTTTAAACATATCAAACAATGTCTGTTAACTAAATAGAAAGGGTTCTTAGGTCAACTTAATACAAAGGAACACAGTCATTTAACTCTGTAACGGAATTTAACAGCCATAAAATGAAATTAACAATACAAAGTGCATTTACAATTACTTCTGTCATCGACGCACACCTCTTAGCAGTACAACACGTTATGGTAGTAATAACACGACCCACTAACTAGCTTGACACGATGCGGTCCTCTCACCCGAAGTTCCACTACGATGAGGTTACACATTTACCCGACTTGATTGCTCTCTCACTTTCTCAACTAAATACACAGAATGGATATTACACAATGTAAGAGAAGGTTTAGAGTCTTTTGTACAATGTCTTTTTCCAACAAGTCCTCTAAATGAAATGACAAAAACAGTTTGAAGAACCAATTGGAGGAAACAGCTCAAGTCAGATTTATTATCCTACTAAGTAGGCCTACATTTCAGGGTCAAACTGTGGTATAGTACATATTCAGTAGGATGTTAGCTACAACTGCTCTGGTAAATTTTAGGGAGATTTGTTTCACTAAATATGGTAGTCATCAGGACAAGACAGCTTCATTTCCTCAGTAAAAGGTATAGTACATTTAGGCAACAAATCATGCTGAGATCGCAATTCCTGGCGTGAAATCCAAACAATTATATTACGAAAGGTCTTTTGTATAATTGTGAAATCATATCATATCAAAACTCATTAAATTCTAAGCTATTTTTTCACAGATCCATTTCAGAGAGTCATCACACCGCCGATCATTCCAGTTTCCTCCAGTTTTTGTGTCAGCCCGGATATGTGCACAGTCCTCTTCACCCCACTGAGGATCTCCATCACCATTATCAGTCTGGCGTGGGGACCAGTACCTAGGAGGTTAATAAGAAAGGGAATTTTCACAGGATTTTTCATGAGGTGGGTTTAGAGCAGCTATGTCTGTAAGAAATGTTGGAAATTCACTTCAGCTTAATAAATAATATTTAGACATTCATATAAATATAAACCTGGTAATGCACAGCAGTAGTTGTCGCGGGTCGCAATCAACTTGTTCAGGTACATACCGCCACCTACTGTACCGGAGTGTGTAATATCAAGGTTTTAGTACTTCAGAGCCCTGTTTCAGGAAGCGGGTTTTTGTGAAAACCCTGAGTAAGTTGAGCCCGAGATGAGGGAAACCCTGGATTTTCCGTTTCAGAGAGCGAGATCAGATAAACTCTAGGTCTGTAACCCCGGCAACTTACGCTGTGAACCTGACCTGCTCGGGAGGAGGTTTACTTCAAATAACGCTGAGTTTCTCTCTGACTCCTCCTCTCCTGCGAAGCTTGAAATGACTGTCTGACATTTCCTCATTCAGACTGTCGATATCAAAGCACATACTGGAACACAATTACGTCTTTAGAAACATTGAAATTACGGTTAAATAGGCTGTTAGTTTTTTTTTTACCCAAACATGATCTTGAACATGACGCTTTTATGATCAATCTGTCATCGAGACGTATGGACAGAAAGTTATCATTGGACATCGTAAATTTATCCTCAGCACAGAATAAAATCTATAAGCTACACTGTCCTTTATAACACAGTGACTCTGTGGACATTAAGGCAGTCAGGTTGGCAACAGTTGCACAAAAACACTTAGACCTACTGTGCGCTACAGCGCTGCAGTATTCACTGTTTAAAGTAGGTAATCTGTATAAAACTGATCAATGAACAGTAGGCCTAACCTTTCATATTGTAGTCGCACTGATTGGACAATCCTATCGTAGTGATCAACTGGATATGATGTGAATATTTCTGTGTGAGGATGACTGTGGTGCAGCTGAAACAAATAAATGTAGTTTAAAGGTGAGTTTTTCATTATCTGCTGATAGTCTGAATGTGATTTTACAGCATTTCATAAAATACGAAATGAGCAAGATTTTATTAATGTAACAGACGTCTAAAACTTCACAGTCAGTTCACAGGCATTTAGTCCCGTCAGGTTACAGCTGAATAAACAGGCTTATTTAAAATGAATAACAGGCTGTAGGAGAATTCCAGCACTTTATCATTCATTAAGGAAATTCCAGTCTGGTAAATAATGAATGAGCAACGCTGTATAAAATGTAGCCTGATATTGTTAACGTATCGATCCTGCGTTTTAGAGCCTATCATGGTCCGTGTTGGCAGCATTCATATTGCTAACGCCACCCGATTAAAATGGAGGCTCTGGCTTTATTTACCCGTTGCCATGGTGAATCGTAGTATCAGACCTCCCATTGATGATGGCTTTTTTCATTGACATTTGACATTATTATAGTAGTGTCTCCCTTTAGTGTCTGTGTCCCACTTCTTCTGCCATACTCACTCACTGCTTTTCTAATTAATGATTTGGCCTCTCCTTTTCCAAAGGGAACTTTCATTATTTCATCATCTTTTAATTTCAATGCTGTCTTTGCAATCTCGTCTGCTTTCTCATTCCCCTCAACTCCAACATGAGCAGGGACCCAAACAAATTACACATGAACTCCAGCTCTTTGTATTCTCAGTATTATTGTACATATTTCAATCACTAGATCATCTCTTACTGTCCTTTTGGAATTCAGACTATACAGGGCTGCAGTGGAGCCTGAACAAATGACAACTCTCTCTGGCCTCACCTCTTCTATCCACTGTAACCCTAAAATGATAGCAACAATTTCTGCTGTATAAACAGATAATTTATCATTAATTCTTTTACATATAACTACATCAGACTCAGGTATGTATGCTCCTGATCCTACATGTTCACTCCCTGGATCTTTCGATCTGTCAGTAAATAACAGCATATAATTATAATAATTCCTCTTCATATAATCTTGAACCAAATATCCAATATTATCCACATTACTTTCGCTCCATTCTTTCTTCTTCTCTAGAAGCTTCAAGTCCACATTGGGCACAGGAAATATCCATGGAGGAACATTACCCCATACAGTAGTTGGTTCATAGTCTATGCTATTTAATCCGTATTCCTCTGCTACTGCATTAATATTCCAACCAAATCCTTTACCTTTCCATTGTTGTGTATATTCCCACAGTCACACAGAACTTTTGTTGCAGGTTGTTCCTCTCCAGATCCTTTTAACTTGACCCAATATGCTAAAGAGAACTTAGAACGTCTTAAATTTAATGGCAATTCATCAGCTTCTACCAGCAGTGTATTAGTAGGGGTTGTTTTCACTGCACCTATACTGAGTCTTAGAGCTCTGAACTGTATTCTGTCTAGTTTTTCTAAAACTCTATTGACTTTGTAAACAAAGTTCGAGGACAAAAATTGGATCCAGATGAAACCATGGTATTCTATGACGTGACTTCTTTGTTCACCTGCATCCCCACCATAGAGGCAGTAGAAACTGTTAGGAAACGGCTAACACAAGACAACACCCTGGACAACAGAACTAGACTCAGCCCTGACCAAATCTGCAAATTATTCGACCTCTGTCTAAACACCACCTACTTCCAGTACAACGGTGGATTCTACAGACAGAAGCATGGCTGTGCCATGGGCTCACCGGTATCCCCGATTGTGGCAAACATCTACATGGAAGAAGTGGAGAACAAAGCCCTCAACTCCTTCAGAGGAATAGCACCGAGCCACTGGTACAGATATGTGGACGACACCTGGGTCAAAATTAAAAGCCAGGAAGTGCAAGCCTTCACAGAACACATCAACCCTGTGGACAGTAACCTCAAGTTCACACGAGAAGATGTTCACAACAACAGTTTGGCCTTCCTGGACTGCGCTGTACACATTGAAGAGGACAGGAGCCTGCAGATTGGTGTTTACAGAAAACCCACACACACAGACCAATACCTACTCTTCGATTCACACCACCCACTGGAGCACAAGCTAGGGGTCATGAGAACACTGCACCACAGAGTGGAAAACATACCAACAAGCGCCCAAGCCAGAGAGAAGGAACAGAACCACCTGAAGGGGGAACTTATAGTCTGTGGATACCCTAAATGGACCTTTGTGAAAACAGCCACAAGATCCAAGAAGAACAAAACTACAGGGGAGGAGGAAAAGAAGGTCAAACGCAACAACATTGTGATTCCATATGTGTCTGGAGTATCAGAGAAACTCAGGAGGATTTTCAACAAACACAACATCAAGAACACACTACAACAGATGCTGGTACACCCCAAAGACCGCACACCCAAACACAAGAAAAGCAATCTAGTGTATGCGGTCCAATGCAGTGAGGAATGCACAGACCTGTATATTGGGGAGACTAAACAACCACTACACAAACGCATGGCTCAACACAGAAGGGCCAACTCCTCAGGTCAAGACTCTGCAGTCTACTTACATCTGAAGGACAGAGGACACTCGTTTGAGGACCACCAGGTGCACATTTTAGACAGAGAAGATGGATGGTTTGAAAGAGGTGTCAAGGAAGCATCTACACCAGGGTTGAGAAGCCGTCATTGAACAGGGGAGGGGGTCTACGCCACCACTTATCCCCCACTTACAATGCTGTCCTTTCATCACTTCCCAGGAAACTCAACAAACGTAACCTATTGGCCTCAGGTGAAGATACCAACGATGGTCGTTCAGTCTTGGCCACAGGTAGTCTTAACGACTGTAACGACTGTCGTCACAGCAACAAGGAACACTAACAAACCAGCGGTATCGATGACCCGGGATAACGACCCCACTGAGGTTAAATAGCTGAGTTTCCCTGCCAGTCAGTCAGAACTGAAGAAGTCCTTTGGATGAGGGACAAAACATCTTCTAGTATCTTCAACCAAGTCCAGTTGCCCTTGATTTTAACCTTCTTTGGATAACTATGATCTGAATGACTGAGAATCTTCATAGACATAACTAGAAACTATTTGTCAGATAATGTTATGGACTATATTAAGAAATTAGTAAAGTAGTAGTAAAGTAGAAGTAAATGTATATTCAAGCAGCTCAATGACAATGAATCACAATAACTGATGGTTCAGTGAAGGTTGTAGATTTAAAGTCACAAATTTATCTCAGAGGGATTTATAATCTATAAACATAGACAAAAAGGGATAAAGTCGAACACACAACCTGTTCTTCATAACTGTCTATCACCACCAGATCTGCTCCACGGCCTTTGCAGTCTTCTCTGCCTTTTCCCCAAGTTTCAGACTTAGTGGAGAGGAGATAACAGGTACAACTGAACATCCTCCATCCTGTAGGACAAGTTTAATGCTGTAAAATGCATCAAACAAAATACATTAAAGAACCTTCTATTTGAGAGGTTGAAGATTCAAGCATACTCTTTGCATTGATTTTGTTAGGAGTGTGGTTTTTGTGTTCATGTCTTTCCTGTTGAAGTCTGTTTTAGGTTCTGTGTTTCAGTTAGTTCCTAGTCCTGTACGTTAGTTAATATCTTTTGTGTTTACTCCTGGTCTTGTGTTCCCTGTTTAGTCTTGTGTATTCCCTTGTTCTTTTACTGGTTCTGTTTAGCTCTGTCGCATTCTTGGTTATTCACTCTGCCCCATGTCTGCTTGTCTAAGTGCTCTCTCTGTTGTCTCTGCCTGCCTCTCTGTTTTTCTGCTGTCTCTCTGCCTCGTTAGCCTCATGTCTGTCACCTGTGTTGCTCCCGCCCTGCTGGTTATCCCTGGTATATATGTGTTGGTCTTTCTGTTCAGCCCTTGTCCGGTCATTGTTCATGTTACCCCCCCAGTCTGTCGTGTGTATACTCTGCCTTCCTGTAACCAGCCTTGCTTGTCTTGTCACCCTGTACCTCTGGTTTTTGGATTTCTGTTTGAATAACCTGTTTTTGGACTCTGTTGATCAGCCACTCTGCTTGTAAGTGTGCTCGCCTTTAGTTTGTATTAAACTCCATTCAACTGTTCCTTCTCTGCCTTGCGTCCTGCGTTTGGGTCCTCCAACCTGCCTCCACCCCACCCACAGTAACAGATTTATTATACAGTCAGTGGACAATGAATCAACCAATAACAACCCTGACCCAGAATTACAAAACACTATCCTTAAAAAATGGATTATATAATTTTGTTGACTCCCGTCACTCTAAATTAGTTGAAGGAGCTGTGACACTCTAAACCCTGCTGCTTCTTCTAATGACTCCTCACTAGTGGCAGAGGAAGTTTCCTAAAGAAGCAATACTGCAGTATAGAAATATTCTGATTCAAGTCCTGAATTTGAAATTTTACTTAGTAACAATAATTATGGATATCTTAGATGCTCAAAGCGTTTCGGAGTGAAGGTGAGAAACTCCTCCTGCTGACCGAAAACAACAGCCATTCTTGAATAACTATTTCTGAAACCATTAACACTTGTAGCAAAATCATTTACCAAGTGTGCCAAACTGAATGCGTTACACTCACTTTGTAATTTTATTAGGAGAGGACCAGGAAGAGAATAAGAAAGGGGAGTCAGGAACATAATAACCATTGAACATCTTGTCAACCAAGGGATGAGCTTGAGGGAGGCTGGCAACAGGTTCCACCAAATCTCAGCCTCTATATTGTTACAGGTATTATCTGGTTAGTTTCAAATGAGAAGCAGTAATATGCAAGTAATGACAAGGATCTGTAATAACAAGGATCTGTCACCACTGTAAAAAATCCAATAGTTCTCACTGAATTGCAAGAAAACCAGTATCTGGTGGAACAGGTCGACTGCTCCCCCGCTCAAGAGACCCACATTGTAAATATGGTCATTGTAAATAACTGCATCACACTCAAAGAACTACAGGACCGCATACTTGCAGATAGCACAATGTTCCACAAAAAAGTGAGTGTCTCTGCATGGCGTTACATCACAGTTTATTGACTTCCTTAAGTCAATAAACTGGTCCTTGGACTTATTTCACGCCCTACAAAGTACCTTTCAAAATAAACTCAATTTGTGTAAACAAGTGAGGAACACACATCCGTATTTTACACATTTGGGCACCTGTGCGTATGTGAGTTTTACTATACTAATTGCACGGCAAAACTTTATTGCACACTGCTGAGACACATTACACACACTACACATAGAAAACGCAAAAGCCACTAGTGTTTTTCACTATCAGTGCATTGTTGCTGCTTCTTGTTCTTATTAAAAGACATTTGTTTGTACTGTACTGATTTAAAAACACAACTTTTAAAAGAGTTTGAAGGGAGTTTGCAAGAATTGTTTGCTTTTGCAAGAGATGTATAATGTTTTGGGGTTTTTTGGTGTAAGGTTTTGTGGTTAGTGTGTGGAGTTTTGCAAAAATAGCCCATGGTTTCAAAAATTGTGCCTAACCAATCAGAAATAAGTGAAAGTCAGTAAGTGTTAGCATAAAAATATACTCAAAGGACCAAAGCAAAAGTACTTTTAATGTAGAATGACCAATTTGATTATATATATTAGTAAATCTAGCTATGGATGCACTCAAGTGTAAATGTCACTTCAATGTTGCAGCTGCTAAAAATGCTAGAAGGTAATTGTAATTACTTTATATACTGCGGGGTAGCTTAATCTATAATACATGATCACTCATTAGCTGATCGTATATTGTATTAATGTTTAAATCATTAAATGATTAAATGCACTTTCAACACCTGCTCCTGACACGCTAATAAGTCAAATTACTAATATCAAAGGAATGATTACTATTAGAATTATAATAATAATAATAATAATAATAACAAGTTTTATTTATGTCTCACACCAGAAAAGGGCAGGGCAATGTAAAAAAAAAAAAACAGAATCCTTGGAAGCAAAAATAGTAATAAATAATAAAGTAAAGTAAATAAATCACCAAATAAGGAAGTTGTTTGCAATTTTTCAGTTTTTTTATTTGTTAAAAAAGTTTGAAATATCCAATAAATTTCGTTCCACTTCATAATTGTGTCCCACTTGTTGTTGTTTCTTCACAAAAAATTACAGTTTTATATCTTCATGTTTGAAGCCTGAAATGTGGCAAAAGGTCAAAGTTCAAGGGGGCCGAATACTTTCGCAAGGCACTGTATTTCGTGCCTGTGGTCATCAAACCTTGTCAGCATAAGTCCTTGGACTTATTTCACCATTGTCAGCAGCTACAACCAACATTTATTTATAATTTCTATAATATCTATGGCTGACTTAACAGTACAATAATTTTCTGCAATAATTCAACCGTGCAATACTTGTTTCACTCTGGCATTAATGCTGCATTTATACTGTAAATTTAATCTAATATTCTTCTTTCTACTATTTTTGCATTTTAACACTCTTATTTATACACTTTTTATTTATTTAGACTATTATATATTGTAGTAGTACACCACACATGTTTTTCTAATATGTTTTTATGTTCAAACATTTCTGTTTCTGCAATGTATGTTTAAATAGATTGAGAGGTTGAAACTGAGCTAAAAGGATAAAGCAGATCAGAAGATGTTCTATACATGAAGCTGTGGTCGGTCCTGGCCTTCATGTTAAGAGACAGCTGTGCAGAACCCACACAGGCAAGCACTCACTCTGTTTGGACAAACTCTGAAGCCTGTCTAACTCTTTAGTCGTGTTACTGAGGCTGGCATTCAGCCGGTCTCTCTCTTCAGTCACGGAGGACAGCTTGTTTTCACTGTTCTGGAGACGCTTCGTCAGGTTGGCTTTGACAGTGGAGAGTTCTGCAGATGAATCACGTACTGAGTCACAGTCTGGAATAAATCAAGATACATACAAGATACATTTTTGCTGCTCTAGCTGCTTGGATATGAATTTTTACCATGGGTGGATAAAGTAATATTCATAATAAATATATTTACAAAACAAATATTTCATGAGGTCAGTGTTCACTTTTAATTTGTTGTGCAGATGTGAAACGTGCTTAAGGCCAACAAGTAAAGAAAAAGACAAAAGTCAAGAACATTTTGGTGAAACCAAACTTTCAGAGCAGAATAATGCTCCTGAAAATCCCAAGTTCAAACTGATGTTAATGGATGAAAGCGAGACTCACGGTAAACACCGAGGCCGATGAGCCCAGCCAGCAGGAAAACACTCAGCAGCCCCAGACAGAGAACAACAGCTCCATGAAATATCCTCTCTGAGCTCCTAGGACCTGAACAGAGAGAAGACCAGTGAATACAGTCAATGACACAACAACAATATGACAGATAGTTTGCAGAGCTCAGTCTATCAGACTTATTATTCTTACCTGTCTGATTTTGTGATGGTTTGGAGTCAACATGATTGTCATATTCAGTATTTGCATAGATTTCTTCCATCGCTCAATAGGATCCCAATATTTTGTGGAGGGTTGACTCTGTAGCACAAGTTACACATAAAAAAGTTAAACTCCTGTTGGTTGTTTTTTTTTACTTTAGTTAAAGAGGAAGTCATGTCTCACAGATGGTAAAAGTAGTATGATACACGCCTGTAATCTTCCTTGAAACAGGACAGTTAAGAAGCTAGATTAGCTTGATGTTCAATCACAAGAAAAAGAATAAAGAAGTTGTTAAGATTTATTTTTTATTTTTTAACTCCTTTACAGGATCCTAAATATATTTTTTTTATATCTAGGCAGAATCTTATCTTTTACTAGTGCATAACTTAATTTAAAAGTGTTTCACAAAAGCAGAATTCAGAAATACAGGGTAACAGAAAAAGTGAGGCTTGACCTAGTGTGATCAGTGCATCCTGGCTTTATCTGTTTCACAAAGGCCAAACCAGGCTGAGGAGGAGTGACTATGTCAGGTGTAAGTAGTTCAGTTAAATGCGCATCAACAGCTTTCTTCAAGAGACCACATGGTCGATCACAGATTTATTGATGCTGAAATGGAAAAGACGTGTGCAGCATACTTTAAAAACAGTAACAGTAGCTGAAAATGTCACTTCTCTTAACTGAAACTCTCATAACGTTACTATTGAAAGAGTTAGGCTACTTTTTCACAATTTCACAAATTAACAGATGTACACTTTGCCTTCCTTTAAAGTGAGCAGTGGACGTTAATATGTTACTCAGGAAATTATTCATTATTAATAACAACCACCAATCGACATACATTATATAGGCTGTATATGTTATTGGCCCAGGCAGAGGGACAGAGAGAGGCAGGAGGTATGTCAATCTTGTGGAAATAGTCTTATTTATATCGATAATAGATAAGAAGTCAGTGATGTGGTTCTCATAGAAAATACTGTATCATATATTTGTAACAGGACCGTGACGCTGTGCAAGCTGACAGCCAGTCTGCCAATGTAGTATCAGTATTACTTGAAGAACATCCACAGGTGCACAATTCCTGCTGTGCTAATTGATACGTGTTTTACAAACTGTCAGATATCTGTACAGTACACACTTAAAATATCACCCAAAACCCCTGGGAGGACTTGGACCTAGATATGATAAAAAGAGATTCTAAGGAAATTGACTTGGAAATCTAGAAACTAGAAAGAGAAGAAGCTCCACAACAGAAGCTCTCCCAAGCTCCCAGCAGATGAGTGATCCCAGGAAAAAATAAAAGGCCAAAAAACATTGTAGTGTCCTCTCCCTGTTGTTTCATGAATGAACAGTACACTATATACTTGGTCCAG